ACCCCCTTCTATAGGTTGGGGATGTCAGGGGCAGGCAGGGTGGGGCGAAGCAGTGACAGTGGGGCCAGAATGGGGCAATGGATCGTAGCTTGGACGACTAAATGGTAGATTGGTGATTAGTGGTGGGTAAGGTGGGGCGTGGGTGGGGTGGGTAGGATTAGGTAGCGGTATGGTAGTTGTGACGATGATGGTGGTCAGGTGGCTGAGACCTGTGGATGGATATGACGACAATAATAGTGACATGATGTTTAGTGGTGGGTTGGGTTGGGTTGGGTTGGGGTAGAGTGGGGTGCGGGTGAGTGGCCATTGTGAAGGCGAAAATAGTGGTATGGGGGTGGGGGGTTAGGTTAGAGGCAAGGTGGGCGGCAGGGCGAGGCAATAGGGATGGATGACAGCTGTGACGACGACAATGGTCGGATAATGTTCGGGTGACTAAGAGTGAATGGGTATAATGACGACAGTAGTAACATGAGAATTAATACTAAATTTTAGGATAAGACCCAATTTAATCATAAAAACGTTATCATGTTCATAAATTTTTTAACCATAATACTTACCGACTCAATCAATATTTTATGTACTTACCTACCTCGAAAAGGAAAATAATTATGACCACGTGTAATTAAACAATAAATCTAACTTTAATTTCAAGAGTTTAAAAATGAAAAGTACGCAGGGAAGCTTCGATGGGAGCAAATCACGGCCGCCAACGAAACTCATAATGGTTTTGTGGGTCCAAAAGCAAACACACAAACACATTTGTCGCCTGATTTTGTGCTGCTTTAACGTGCTCTACTACTTTCCTCTACATTTCCTTTAATATTCGTATATATATATATATATACGTACAACACCCTTTCTACCTCATCAACTCGAAGGAATTGAACCTACGAATTTGTCGGTCTCAAACGAGTTATTAAACTGATCCGGTTCATCTTGACATACGGATAATGGCTTTTATACTCTTTCTTTGTATCTTTTTATTCTCTACAGTATCATATTCTCAAGTTGCTGTTCGTGCTAAAACTCCGTATCTTGATGGTATGTTGTTCCAATGTCCAATTTGATTAACTTTTACGTGTTTTTGGTACATGTTAGAGTTCTTTTTACTATTATTTAGTGTATGGTCTTATTCCTTAATTTTTTATATATAACAAATGCTTACAGATCCGTTAGTGTCTTTAATGAGATTCGAAACATGACCTTATGTTTTTTTGGTGTACAGGGTTTCTTGCGAATGGCAACTTCGAACAAGGGCCACATTCTTCAAACATCAAGAAAACAGTGATCATTGGAAAATACTCTTTACCCAAATGGGAAATCTCGGGCATGGTGGAGTACGTCTCTGGTGGGCCCCAACCAGGTGGGTTCTACTTTGCGATCCCACGTGGGGCCCACGCAGCAAGGCTTGGCAACGAAGCCACCATATCCCAAACGATCACCGTGAAGGTGGGGACGACGTACTCCCTGACGTTTGCGGCCACGAGGACTTGTGCTCAAGACGAGATGCTAAGAGTCTCGGCTTCTGGCCAATCGAGCGATCTTCCCATTCAAACTTTGTACAGTAGTGATGGAGGAGACACTTATGCCTTTGCTTTCAAAGCTACTTCAAACAGGATCAAGATCACTTTTCATAACCCTGGGGTTCAAGAAGATCCTGCTTGTGGACCCCTCTTGGATGCCATTGCAATCAAGGAGATGATTCCTCTAAGATATACCAAAGGTAATATAATCTCTGTTATATTTTTTTAAACTGTCTTAGAAACTGAAAACGAGTCGATTACGACAATGCAGGAAACTTGGTGAAAAATGGCGGTTTTGAGAACGGCCCGCACGTGTTCAAGAACTACTCGACCGGAGTCCTCCTCCTCCCCAAAATACACGACATCGTTTCCCCACTCCCTGGATGGATCGTTGAATCGCTCAAACCAGCAAAATATATAGATTCCAAACACTTTTCGGTGCCAAAGGGACTTGCTGCTATCGAGTTGGTAGGAGGTCGGGAAACCGCGATTGCACAGATCATTCGTACCGTGCCAAACAAACTCTATACGCTGTCGTTCACCATTGGAGATGCGAAGAACGACTGCCATGGATCGATGATGGTGGAGGCTTTTGCAGCTAAAGAAACTGTAAAAGTAAAACACGAAGCTCAAGGAAAGGGTGGTTTTAAGTCCGCTAGTCTCAAGTTTAAAGCCATTTCAACGAGGACAAGACTCACATTTTACAGTGCGTTTTACCATATGAAGCTCAGTGACTACGGGCATCTATGTGGTCCGGTCTTGGATGATGTCAAGGTTTTGCCTTTCTAGAAACAAGTGATGAACTCCATGAATTCGCAATTGGATCTTGCATACTGGTTTCTTATGATACATTTATTCAAATATGTAGAGATTGAATTCGACGGTAAAATAGTTTTGGTTTACGTTTGGTCGTTGAGTTATTAATTGAAAAGATTATTGTATATCGGTCACGCAACTGATTTCACTCGGGGACATAATAGTGATGACTATCGAGAACACTCTGTTATATCCATCCCAATCAATGCTTTTTGGGGGAAGTCGATGTTCAAATCTCACGAAATCCCATGAAATCACAATCACCCCGTGGGATTTCAAAATCTTATGTTTGATGGATTTTAATGAAATCTAGGAAACCTTGCAAACTAAACACATGATTGAAATGGATTTATAATCAAAATCTCTAAATTCTTTCTATTCCTACCATCCAAACGGACACGTATACTCCTTTTAAGAAATAGAACTCACTCTGTATTTCATTACGTAACTTACGTGAAAAATACTTTCAACCAAAAATTATGACAGACTTCGAACCTCCAATATGTTGGAAGCTCTATGAATCAATATCGGCCATACATTTTTAACTTCTATAATTATCTTATTAATTATATTAATTACGTTATCAATATTTTTCTTAAAAAACTCATTTTTTGTTTTACTTTTAAAACAACTCTATTTCATCCATAAAACAAACACACGAGTTGATGCGTGTTAGATATTTTTTTGATTATACATTGTTGTTTTACCAACGAAACAATATATCGGGTTGATAATACAGTGTTATTTTACTAACGAAACAACAAATAGAATTGATCTCTTTTGAGTATAATGTCGTTTCACCAATGAAACATTACATCTACCGCGTGATTTCATATGAGAAAAAAGTGAGTTCTTTTAGGAAACGGTCGATAAGGTAATTAATAAGAAAATTATGAAAATTAAAAATGTGTAGTCAATATTGGTTTATAAAAATTTTAACTTATTAACGGTTTCTATTTGATTTTTCCTTTATGTTTTAATCTTAAAATTTAAATTTTAAAAGTTTGTAAGTAGTTAACACAAATACTTTATATATTTTTCTAAAATGGTTTAAATAGATAAATCTTGTTAGCAACAAATTTAGTAAAATAAAATTGGGTTAATTTAAATATTTTCTACACATTTTGTAAACCCTCCTTAAATAATTATTGTTAGATGTTTCTTTACGATATAAAAAACAGAAAGTATTACACAAGAAAACATTACGATATAATCCTTGGCATTGCTAAACCCCTTCCAATCAAGAATGATGAAAAACAATACCAAGACAGGGAAACCGAGTATCTCAAGAACCGAACATGATGTATAAAGACAAAATACTTTTACGATTCTCTTCTCTTTTGCGTTGACATAAACATAACACAACATAATCTTCAGAGGTAGCTCAACTGATAAGAGTTTGAGAAGACGTTTACTGATGCTAACTAGGTAAGAGTCACCACACTCACTTACCTTACCAGACAAGATTATCGGCCATCAAAATGGCATTGCAAAGCAATCATCTTACCTGGTAAATGCTACCCTCACCAGGTAAACGCTTACCCAGTTACGACCCTTAGCTTGCTTCCTAGAAGACTTTAAGACAAAGGGGTCGGCAAATACCATAAAACTAGATGCACACGTTGTGTATATATAGTTAAATATTTGCAGACCTGCTGCTTATGAAAGCAATGGAAGTTTTGATGTTTTAGATTCTCTGCTGAAACGATTTAAAATACAAATTTGAGGGTGAAAGGAAGTGGATGTCCCTTGGGGAGTCAACAACTCCATATTTTTTGGATCCTGCTCCCCAACCTGCCAACAGATATAATATTGATAATATTTATGTCTGTTTCCAACCTTCTACATATGTTTGATCAAACTTAACGATACCTGAAATGGTTTATATAAGCAAATGGGCATCTAAATCTGGGTTCTAAGCACCAATCCAGCCTGGTTTCCTTACTAGATAAAGGTGTAGTGCGTGCAACCAGGTCAAGTTGCAATTTTGAACATCAAGAACAACTGTCACAGGTAGTCATCAACTACAAATGGGTCCAGTTAAACCTCATGGTCCCGAAACTGTTATCATTAATAAACGTTTCTGAGTCCGGTTAGGACCAAAGACAAACAGGTTTAGAACCAGGCCATAAAGGGTGAGTTTGGTACGCAGGACATGTTGAAATGGGACAAAAACTTGTCCCACATTTGGCGCAACAATTAGACTGTGACAAGACAGGTTGACTGCAGTTTATTGTCCCACCAAAATAGGTGAAACAAAAATCATTAAGATGAGACAAGATAGATAAGTTAATAAACTAAGGTTGGGTTCACGTGAGACCAGACTGTTTTCGTGAGACCACATTTTTACACTTGAAACTTTACAGCAAAAAGACTGTGAATGTTTAAAAAAGTCAAACCTTCACAGCAAAAACACTATGAAGGTTACCTTCACAGCATTTTGCTGTGAAATTTCAAGTGTAAAAAGTTGGTCTCACGGGTCTCACGAAAACATGCTGGTCTCACGTATAATAAACTATCTATCGTCAAATTGGAAACTTCAAACGTTTCACGATTGTTACACTTGCCTACCTCACTCTTGCCGGTCCAGTCCTGTCTGCTTACCAAATGCACCCAAAAGTAACACAGAGACCAAAATAGGAAGAGGACTGGATCAGATCATCAGACCAAGTTGCACCTACATATCAACTTGTAGACTTGCCTAACCAACAATGATTTAATCAACTTGCAGCAAAAGGTAATAGTCTTAACTGCAACATATGAAACACAGCAACGAGCACCTAGTTATCGTGTCTAAGAGCTTGCTATCCATGAAAGCTGTGTTCATGCCAACAAATGTTGGTGTTTCATACATCCTATCAATTGGATTAGATTCATCATCACATCACTGTTTTTTCTCACTATATAATTGGGAATTTGGGACCCCAAGATAGAAATATTAAGCGGTTAAAACACATGGGTAAGTGCAAATCATGGTTGAAAAACTAAACCAACCATTATTTTACTGCAAAGAATAGAGAAATCAAAGAAGCAAAGAAACATAGATTGAGTCAGGTCAACCTGCTGGCTGCTGCTCGATTATATTATTAAAAAAAACTTCCATAAAATCATAACTGAACACTTTCAAAGCTTTAAAACGCAGAACAACCTTACTGTTTAACAGGAACACAAAAAACATAAAAAAAAATGTGCACTTAAGCTTGAGTCTACAAGATGGCCTTCCATGAAAATTATGTGAATGTTTGACAGCATAAACAAAGGGACAGGGTTCACCAGAGATTGAAGTTAAATCATTGTTGCAGGGTTCAGGATTCAACTCGGGACTTGACGATGAAATTTTGGCGACTGATGGGATTCATGACCACTGGAGGACCGGCGGTGCGAGGCCATGCCTGGAATTTCTTGTCAGTTTCTTCCCACCATTCCTTGTTTGAAACTGTAGAGGGAGTCGTACCTATAGGCAACACAAGTAGTTATATTAAAAAAAGCGCATCTTAGGGATAAGGAGACATAAATATCCTAAGAGTTATATATATCCTTGCCTCCAAAAAGCTTCTTGTCAGATATAACGTAGTCACAGGCGAATGCCAGTACAAATGCTCCTATTGTTCCACCAACAATCTTGGCTCCTGTCATTTGTTCAAACTGAATCGAAAAAGAAAATTGCTGATCAGTCGCACAACTTTTGACGGTCGTAAACTGGACAGAGAGCTCTGGGACCCAGCAGATACAATTACATATCAGAACAATTCCATTCTTTATCTGTGGATCAACCTGAATGCACGGCAGTCATACACAAACTACATTTTGCCGTGATATCTTAAGAATGCACTGCATTTACTAACTGACAACAACTATACTGAAAGTAACATGGAGGTCACACTTCTAATCCAACAAGATAAACGATAAGCCATAAGAGGTAGCGTAAATAATACTGGCTCGTTAAGAGAATACAACAATGTATGGAACTTGGTTCAGACCACCAACGAGGGGTTTGTGTCGTGATCAACATGCAATGGTACAGAGTGGCTGGTGCCGACTAGGGTCTGTTCTCTCCTTTTGTTCTCCTTTTTCTTTGATGAGATTGAAGTTGTTTTTATTTGTACCTTGGCTCTGATACCATGATAAACAGTATATGCAGGGAAAATTGTATATCCCCACTGATCAGAAAAGGCACCTATTATACAGGCTACAGCCTACAAGGCTCAAACGATGCTATGTAATGTAACTATGAGTGGAAGTTGAGGGATAAAATTATAGCAATTGTAAATGTTTTTCGGTTTATACTTCAATGAAGTCATGAGCATTTTCAATCCACACAAACATACTTGTAACCATGGTACATAACATTCAATGATGGCATGGTCTCTGATTGCACAGCCTTAGCGATGTGAGCCAAGTACAAACCTATGTTAAAAAATTCTGTAAATCCTAATTGCAAATCTGTAAATCATCTTGCTTGTCTAAATCATGGCAGTTTAACAGGTGATTGCTTTTTAAATGGAGAATCTAAACCAAAATATAAACAAACAGATAAACATGCGAGTATCGGCAAACGCTTCCATCTCTGATAAAAGGGTATGTATAGAATATCACACATGGGGCATTCACCCGTGGGCCGGCATGGATATAAGATTACTTGACTAGCAATTAAATCATCAACACAGAGTTAAGGAAGGGATCTGATATCCACAGCCTTAACAGCCTCACTAACATCCCTTCTTAGCTTCTGCTAGTGACATTGGTTTGAACCTACAAGAAGGCCCCCAATTTCTCATCTGTCCTCAACTGATCTCCCAATCACACAATGAGTGCCTCACACAGCAATGGGGAAAAGAAGGCACAAAGTTTGACTTAAGAGAACAACTACCTTGAAGCCCATAAAATATCCAACTAGATCAAAATGAGGGAGTAAGACTAGCCAATATCTCTAGGAAAATTAAGTGCATACCATCAGACCAAATCCGATTATTATACAACTACAGTAAGAATCATTAAATGTAAGAAATATCTTGGAAAGACAACTTTTTTGACAACACAAAAGCAATGAAGCATTCATTATTCTTAGTAGTAGTATTTATTGCCAGTTACATACTTCCAATGCCTTCTACAAACAACATCATTATAGCCTCTATCCCTACCTAGCTGAAATGATGTCAAGTAATTAAAATTGACGGGTGAGTGAAAATCCATTCTTCCAATATTGTTGAGTCTCTTCAATAGTAAATTGACAGACATTCCCAAACAACTTATCACCTCTTCCCGATTCACACTGACCTTATTTCACACATCCCCATTTCTAGTCCAGGTTATTATTATGTGAAATTCACCTTAGAATGCTTATTGTAGCAATTCTGTAGCACTAATTATATGCATGAGTTGCTTCTAGAAACCCAACATTGCGGCCCATAATACATGGCATACCCATTAAAGTTCTAATATAAAAACTACCCTTCAACCTTCCTCGTGTAGCACACAATCCAAATGCATTACACCTCATCAGCTATCTTGCTGTGATCCTATGGTCATGACCAACACCCTCACCAATCTCTTTCTGTGGCTTCAACCCAAACTATCAGATTTTTTACATTCAACCTACAGTCACAATCTGCATCATAAAAGCGGAAGTCTCAAGGCCACTCTTTTGCACCTTTGTAATCATCTCAATAACAATCTTCACCACAACTGTATAAATTTCATGTTCCCAAATCCCAGTTTCTCAAAGCATGCATCACGTGGTTACCAAAGTGTAAGCATACATGACATGTGCACGTGCAGGGTCGTAATCATTATTAGTTGAACAATTCCCTGATTACTGATTATTGAGCATACATAATGATACTCCCTTTGCTACAAAATTATTGAGCAGATACTTTGGTGTTTTCCAACTTCAAAATCTGATACGTGTTAGGCATTTCAAACTTTAGTAAAAACATAATAGATATATCAGAATTTATAGCAAGCCGCCAAGCCCTACAAATAGAAAATGTTGGCACTGAATTATCAACAAAAATAACAATTTAACATCAATTTTACATTTGAAAAGTAGCTTTTTTTAACCTAAAAAAAGGTAGTTCGCTTTAACAGATAGGAATACTAGATGATTCAAATATAGTCATTAAAACTAGATCGAAAGCCCCAAATGGACCAGCTACGTTCTGTGGCTTGGGCAGGTGAAATGAAACCACGCTTTTTTGCTGCTCTTACAATTAGCAAAAATCCTAGGGCTTCGATAGCAAGGTTTCTCTTTTAAAGCATCAAAGTTGCGCAATATCGAAATTAGATGGAAAACATCATCGAATATATTGGAAAAATCAAATAAAGGGTTGGATGAATCGATCTGAAACACAAATTTATACCGAAATAACTAAGAAGAAATCAATGAAGTTTACCTTGCTACGCTTATGGATGGAATCAAGAACCGAAAATTGATGCCCTGATCAGCCGTAAAAAGAGGAACAGAGAAGAGGAAGATCCAATAGATGCTTCTGGTTTCAAATTAGAAAATGACGACGAATTTGATACGCTGATTATCAACATGTTGTGTTTGAGTAAATTACGCTTTTCATCCCTGTGGTTAGTTAAAGTTGAGATTTTCGTTCATGTGGTTAAGAAATTACGGTTTTCGTCTCAATAGGTTGAAATTCATTGCTATTTCTGTCTTATAATTTACAATTTATTGCTGTTTCATCCTTGTGGTTTACAATTTTTTATTGTTTTAATCCCTTTATTAAAGGTAACAATTTAGTCTAAGGATGAAAATTGCAAAAAATTGCAAATCATAGGGACTAAAATGATAATTTCTACACCACAGGGACGAAAACTATAATTTTCTCTTTTATTTATTAATTTCTTAAAGAGTAAATTACACCATTGGTCCCTCTAGTTAAGCACTGTTAGAGTTAACTCTGTCAGGGAGAGGGACCTAGAATGCAACAAAGTGTAAATCATAGGGACGCTCAATGTACTTATTTATAAATCATATCAAGATTCCGAGCTAACCACAGGGAAAATACTGTGTAAATTACTCATTCTTAAAACAAAAGGTTGTCAAATATAATGTTGCCTTCGGTACAAAGGTACATGGACCGAACACGACAACACATGAGAGAAGGGGACATAACAAAACTCAATTTCTCACTTTTTGCACGACATGGGACATGACAAAAACTTTAAATTCCACATTCTTGCGACATGGAGTAGGGACAAAGACTGGTACATGATGGGACAAAGTGGGACAAAAAAACATTTCCTTGTTCCACCAAAATAGGTGAACAACATGGGGCAAGAACGTACCCGAAACGCGTAATATCAAATGGCATATAACTTGATCCAAAGCTCAACATAAAGCAATTTAAATCGGACAAATATCCCCAAGACTCATCTGAGTCAAACCCGAGCCAAAAGCTCAACCACTCAACACCTATGTGATTACTAAATAAAGTCAACATAAGTCCATAAAATGCATTTAACCAACGTTTATGCAAACATATACTTCTAAAAGTACAATTAACTCAATGAAACCCATCAGTGGTCGAGACAAAACACTTTCCAAATTGAACCATACCGTTACATTTCTCAAAATGTCTGGTAACATGCATTTTCCAAATGGTTTATAAACCCAAATACACCAAAATGTATCAACACCAAAACAATTTCCATTTATGAGATAAATCATCAAAATAACCTACATTGACGATTTAGTTATTAAAATGTCTAAAAACCCCAAATACGGGGGTTTCTCCAAATTTATAAACCCATTGTACAAAAATGCAAGCCTAATCAAATAATAACCACACTTGATAAACATCAAGGAAAATATTTCAATACATCAAAATAAACATTTTTGGCATGTACATAGCTTTCACAAAACAACTTGAACTCACCTTGTTAGGTTTGATTAAACCTAGATTCCTACCTAAATCTTTAGTTTCCAAAAGATGAAGATCTGAGATCCTCAAACAAATCCCACCAAGGAAACTTCTCCAAAACTATTATCTAAGCCAAAGAAGCACCAAACATCAACTCTAGTTTCAAAACCATTAAAAACCGAAATATAGATCTTATAATGCTTAAAAGGCTTACCTCTTCAAACTTGCAGGAATTAGGCTCAATCCCTAGTGAGGACTGAAGTGGGTGAAGAATGGACAAAACCTAGCTCAAAAATGGGGTTTAAAACTCGATATGGGCGTTCTCATGACCTTTACTCTGACCTAGTGTGTGGTAAGTCGTCCGCATAAAAAAAACCCGTTTTGATGAAACAGATAGTTGAGCGACTTTTTCCATGGCCTAGTAGCGGGATAAGTCGGGGATTTTCTGTTTCGTTCTCGAGACTTGTCTCTACTATAACTCATAGATGCCATAAGATCTTATGACCTAAAGCATTCCACTCAAATATATGACCTCCAAAGAATCATCACAACATATCAATTTTAAAGGTACGCCCATAAAATACGGATCTTACACAAACCCACAAGATCCTTTCTTTTCAATACTTATAACATGAAATTGCATACACTGTGATACTCATTGTGATAACCACTATGATACCCTTCTAAACGAAAACCATGAACTATCGAGTACTCATTTGATTAGGTCACTATATATATATATAGGAGGACCTTTTGAGATCCCTGCAATTTTTGAGATCCATAAGATCCAATATAAACCACAAAATCATAATAAATTAGGAAATAAATAATTTTAGTAATTTTGAATTGAAAAAAAAAAACTAAATAAAGGGCATTATGGATATTTGTAAATCCAACAACAAGAGATGATAGTCTTCAACCCAATTATTCTATAATTATCCAAGAAGAGAAACTAAACTAGGAAATGTGTGAACTGGTTTGTTTTCTGCGTCATTTGATTTTAATCTTCTGTATCCCGGTTTAAAGCCTTTATTTCCTGACATAAATTGAAACCCTAGGCTCAAGCCTATGCAGTTATCCACATATTGTAGAGAACAACGAAAAGTAGTTGAATGCAGGTGTATGTTCATAAACAAAAGCAAATTGCTAGAAAAAGGAATCCATACCCTTCAACGATGTTGGATCTTTATCAAACCAAAACTGTAAAACTGAAGTTATATAAACAAAGAAATTCTCTAATAAGAAGCAAAATAATACATACATATTGAAAGGCTGCTGCTAATCAACTAATATGGGATGAGATGTAGGTGAAAACTCATGGCAATGTACTCTCATACTATTCAACTTATATTACTACAAATTGATCAAAAATGTTGAATACTGCAAGAAGTAGTATTCTTTACGGTATAACAACAACATCTGAGTAAACCTTCCATTAATCAAATATCAACGGGTACCGAAACAAGACAAATGTACAATGTACTTGAAATATTCATGTTCGAGGTTGGTGTTCGCCGAAAAACAGGGGTGGGGTAGGTTGGTGTTCATGAGAAAACATGGGAACGAGGGCCTGATTTTTTTTTGCTGTTGTTGTTGCTTCTAGCGGAGGGAGGTCGGTTTTTGATGGAGGTTGAAGATGGTGAGAAAATTCAAGATGTAGGTTGGATTTGATAAAGGCGTCAATGCAATGTTGAGGTTGAGGGATGTGTGAGATTTTTGTAGGGTTTTAAAATGATAAATATGGAAACCTAGAAAGATACTAAAAAATAAATAAGTATATATTTATGAGTTGTCATCAATATAACAAATTACATAATTACCCTTTATATTTATTTAATAAATAAAATTAACTATATTAAATGAGTGAACTAAGATGGATCTCACGTTTTGAGGAGTTGTCAAATGAATAATCCACTATATATAGGCGAAGTGAAGAATCGTGTAAGAAGTAGAATTGAAGTGAAAAAAGTAAGAAAGATCTGGACCATTGATCACATTTAATCTCAAATCCACCTATAAATCATGATTGATATGTGAATTGATCTGGTGCATCTGATACAATAGTAGAGATCTCTTCTTATCATAACTCTCTTTGTACCAGAACCCAACGCTATATATATAATCAGTCATTTGTCAAGTCCAGTCCTACCATCTTGTTTTGTTTAGTCTTCTCTAATTTCTGTTATTGTCATGTCGCTACCTAGAAAAACTAATTATATAACGAATAAATTACGAATTTGGTCTCTATGGTTTAACAAAATTATGACTAACGTCCCTAAACTCAAAAAGTTATGTATTTCGTCCTCATGGTTGTCACTTTTGCATGACTAAGGTTCCTCTCCCTGATTTTGTTAAGGTGACTCCATTTAAGGGTGCTCATGGGTTGGGTTGATCGGGTTGAAGACATTTGAACAACCCAACCAAATGTTTACGTTTTGAAAAATCTCAACCCAACCCAACCCCAACCGTACGGGTTGGTCGGGTTAGTCGGGTTGATACTTTGGTACATTAAAATATTCTTCTAACATTGAATATGTTATTTCTCTACTCGTAATTCTTTTTCATCATCAACCATTTGATACAACTTATCAATACTTCTTACGTATATCACATCCAGTTATTTTTCTCAATTTACGTATATATGTTTATAGTTAGTAAACATATATATGAATGAGTTATATAAAGATGTGTATATGAATAACGTACATGATAGTGTAATTGTCTAGTGCATATATTAATAGATATTCAACAATCATATTTAATCCAAGAAATAAATGAATATCGGGTTCATGAGGTTGAGTTGGGTTCAAATAATAATAATCCAATACCTACGATTTGAAAATTTTACAACTCGATTAGACATCGAGTTGAGTTATTTTGCGTTAGGTTGGGTTGATCGGGTTTTTGAGCACCCCTAACTCCATTAACTTACCCTTTCTCTTATTTTGCATGACTGCAGTCCTTCTCCCCATTGAATTATAGATTTGGTCCCTTGCATGACTACGGTCCTACTCCATTAACTAAGGTTCCTCTCCCTAAATTTGTCTCATGAAATGGTTGGCATATGTTCTTTAGATTCGGGAGCAAGGGACCAAATCTATAATTCACACTTGAATAAACTATAAAACATATGCTAACCATTTCATCAGACAACATCATCTTCCATATCACCAATTACCATATTCAAGACTAGATTATAAACCACCCAATGGCCAATAGTTTTACATAATTCCTGTTGCAACAGATCAGGTCCACATGAACATTATTGATGACTAATGTCCTACATTATAAACTAAAAACCATGGATGAAATGCATCAGCAAAAAAATAACTCAAAAGGAATTGGAGTTTATGAGATCCTCTGAACATATTCAACATAAAAGTGATGGTAGAAAATAAGCATAAGATTGAAATATGAATGTGCCACAGCCAAAACAGGTATCAATCACTCAGAACATTCAACAACTGGTAATCTATATCAAAACGATGTCCTAACACCATAACATACTTTTTCTCAAGCAGGAATATCAGCAACATCTTCAACATAAGTAATTGCCTTTGTGGTGGGCTTCGCCAGCATATCAGTATACTCTTGGAATGGAGATCTACTGAATCGGGTCTCTCTCCAGAAGTCCGGAGTCAGGAATCCATAGGTCTTCAGCAGGCAGTCAAAAGTAGCCTGCCAAACAAAATTTTGCATTAGATGATAAAGTATATATCAATGCTATAGATATGCCATCATACATTTCATACTGTTAGCACATCCCCAATGCTTGCAAGAACATAAGTGGTAACAAAAATGAAAATTTATTAAATTTGGTACACAAAATTCAGATTTTGATGAGTTCTTCAAGTGGGTTGACCTGCCTTCAAGAAACAATAAACTCTGAGAGCATACTCCAAATGAAGAATTAACCACAGGATGTAAATACCTCATTCATTAAATATACACTAGCAACTATTTGCAGAAATTGTAAAACTTGAACCATCCTCAAGGATCAACCCATAACTAGCAGAAACAGAGGTGGTTTCTCAAATATACAAAGAAGATGGATGAAAGTTTGCATTGACTCAGTAAAAAACTAGCCACCTACTATCTCCGGTACTTGTGGCAAGAGTACATCACTAAAATTATAACCAACAAACTCATCTTTGGGATTGCATATTTACACAAAGAGAACGCGACCACCATGAATGGGTGCAGAATCTAACAAGAGAATAATAACCAATGAAAACGAGCTAAAATTTCTATGGTTGGGTGGATAAGATAGAAGCAGAATAATCAAAACAAGTTGCATATCAACAAATGTTTCATAACGATGTTTGGCATCAACATCAAAAGGATTGTAGCAACAAAATGCTAACATTCATCTCCCAATTTATCAGTCTTTTATGATAGAAAAAACACACGAATTTGACATTGTAGACAACATAAACTGATCACCATGAAATTTATACCCAAAACAGTATAAATACAGAAACAACTTCAAATTCTAGGAATAATCAAGATTTTCTCCTCAGAATCATATGAATTATTAGCCACAGTATCGCAAATCTATAACAAGTAAATGAATCAATACATAAAATACGAAGATAAATTTTAAATTTCAAGTACATATGTTTCTAAACAATATCAATGATTTGGTTCTCAAAAAATATCATATGATTCCAAGTAAACATTTTACCTGATCATTTCCAATATCAACACTCAAAAAATCAATCAAATTCGGTCATAACAAGCAATGTTAGTGAACAGAAACTAAATCAATAACCAACAAGAACTATATAACCACACATAAAAAAGAATACATTAAAAAAACATATAATTAAAGAAAGGGATGGATAGCAACGAACCTTGACAAAGTTTCCAAGGGTCTTGGTGGATCCACGCGAAGATGTAAATACATCATCGATACCAGCAAACTGAAGCACCTTCTTCGGAACCCTAGCAGCCACAATCCCAGCCCCACGGGGTGCAGGAACCAATCTGACGGTAACCGAACCACATTTACCAGTAACCTTACAAGGCACAGTATGAGGCTTACCAATCTTATTTCCCCAATAACCCCTCCTAACCGGAATCACCGATAGCTTGGCCAATATAATCGCACCCCTAATGGCAGTAGCAACTTCCTTCGAACACTTAACACCCAATCCCACGTGTCCATTCCCATCTCCAACGACCACAAAAGCCTTGAACCGGGTTCGTTGTCCGGCACGAGTCTGCTTCTGGACGGGCATGATCTTCATCACCTCGTCTTTCAGTGAAGGGAGGATCTGATCGATAATCTGGTGCTCTTTGATTGGGAGGGAGTGAAGATAGACTTCTTCGAGTTTGGTGATCTTACCGTCTTTGACGAGACGGCCAAGCTTGGTAACGGGGACCCATTTCTCTTCATCGGCGTCACGGCGACCACCACGACGACGGCCTCTGCCACGGTCTCCACCACGGCCTCTTCCACGGTCTCCAAATCCCCTTCCGAAGCCACCACGTTCACCGCCTCTCTCAGCCATGATTGCTTGGTGCTTGGTTTGCACAAGAGACGAGTAAGAGTGAAATGAGAGATCTAGGAGAGGGAAACCCTAGAGGGGCGGTACAGAGGTTTATATGTGTATAAGAAATTCTAGGGTTTCTTTATTGGGCCCAAGTTACAGCGGCTGAACTTAATTAGGAATATTGGGCCGGCCCATTGATATCCACACTCACAAAATAGAGGTTTATAACTTTTTTATATAATATTATTATATTTTAAAAAAAATGTGTATGAATTAATCTCAGTAAATTGTGATTATAAGAAATCAGTTTTAATAAACTCAAGATGTGTTTGTTGTCCAGACAAAATAAGACAAAACGGTTGCTCAACATTTGGTAAGACAGAACTAGACATAACAGAACAAGTAAAATGATCAATTTACTCATAATGAGTTGTTTAAATATTTTGATTAAATTATGTAATTTATCAAATTGTAATAAAATAATTGTTTTTTATGACAAAATATATTATTAGAAAATTTACGTCAAAATATTTAAAATGACACAAAATAAAAAAATTATGTAGTATTTCCAATTTTTATTTTTATACTTTTTCTATATTATTTTTTATTATTAATATATAATAAATTATATAAATTAATAAAAATATAGAAAGCATATAAAAATAATATTTTGATAACAGTAAAATAAAAGTTTAAAAAGTATAAAATACAGTAAATAAAATTCAAAGAATAAATAAAATGTAAAAAATGAGACTTATTTGATGCTTTAGAAGATAATTAAGTTTTATTTTAAGGTTATATTAGTAAAAGACAAGTCTGTTCCACCTTGTTCCATGGGGTAGGGGTTGAACAGGTATGTTCCACTTTGTTTCACTCTATTCTTGTATGTTCTACATAAATGTCATGTCAAACGTGGAACAACGATCCCTATTCTATTATGTCATGTCTTGTGTATCAAACGCATCCTCAGATGCCACAATTGTTGTGTAAGGCATGAAATTGAACTCTGGACAAATGAGATATTCCACCATATTTCCAAGACCTCAACCACTACGCTATAACCTTTGTGGTTATATTATTATATTTTGGTGGTTATACTTTTTGGGTAGAAGTTAGTCCGGTGTAAATTTAAGCCATTTTTTGAAAAGGCTCGTTGCAGCACTGTCATGATACGTCATGGTTCAATACTTGAATTTCACACCACGTTATGTTGAGACACGTCATGTCGTAATGCATGTTTTTTGTAACATGATATTTGACTATACTTTTGTTTTTTAATATATAACTTAATTTAAATTGTTTATTATCATTAATTCATTAAGTAATAGTAGAAAATATATGTTTATGTATATAATATTATATATGATATAGAGATTTGCTATCATAAGTCACCGCCTTGAAAAACGTTGTGACCTCGTTGTGGTTTCCAAGGCTTGAGGTTTGGCCTTTCTCCCACATCACACCTCACGCTATTTAAAATCTTGATTTAAGCCCTATATATTACATATATGTGATATATATATGTATATATATATGTATGTATGTATGTGTGCGTGTGTGTGTGCGCGTATATATATATATATATATATATATATATATATATATATATGAGATGCACCAGATCAATACTTGTATGAAACACGATTTATGGGTGGATTTGAGATTAAATGTGATCAAGGGTACAGATCCCTTATGTTTTGCACCTTAACTATCATTCTTACATGGTCCTTCTCCTATATATATATATATATATATATATATATATATATATAGAGAGAGAGAGAGAGAGAGAGAGAGAGTTGGGTTCTAGTGAGAATGTGAATTGTGGTGAGAAGGGTAAGAATGAATTTTCACCATTGGATCAACCTTAGTTTATAATCAACACTAATGAGATGTATCGAAATGCACCACATCAATTCCCGTGAGAAACGCAATTAATGAGGTGCGGTAAGATTAAAAGTGATCAAGGGTTCAGATCCCTTATTACGCTTCTTATCTTAACTCAACTTCTCACACGATCCTTCATCTACATTGGGTTGGGTTCCTGTGAGAATGGAAGTTATAGTGAGAAGAACTATAAGAGATCTCCAACTTTGGATCAATCCTAATTGAAGATCAGCACTAATGAGATGCACCAAGATGTACTAGATCAATTCTCGTGAGAAGCATAATTCATGCAGTGGATGTGATATTAAAAGTGATCGAAGGATCCATATCACCTATTACGTTTCTCACCTTAATTTCTATTATCACACGATCCTTTGTCTTCCACTCTATCCCTATATTGGTTTACATATATGAAATTCACTCAAGTCGACAAAATCATTTTCTTTTTTCGATTTCAACTATCTACTTTAAGTCGTTTCTGTTAAATATCAATTATTCTATGTGGACTTCAATATCAATTTAACTCTTCCAAAGACATGTTATCTTAATTGTAATCAAATTCAAAAATTATCAACACAAGTTTTACATTTTTGCAACCACTGACTTTTATTTTACATTTTTTGATTTTTTTACAAAAAATTCTAATAAAATCTCAAGACTATGCAAAATTAAGGTTTCTACTTAAGTTTCTCCGTGGCGGATCTACTTGACTAAAGGGTTGTTCGTTTGTGACTTAATGGGTTGTATAAGCTTTATGGCTTATTCGCTCAGCTATAAAAAGTTGTTTGGTTGGGGTTTATTCGCTTAGCGGAGAGCTTATTCGCTCAGCTTAAAACACCACTTGTATGGCCTCAGCCATCAATATTTCCCCAATTACCCTTGATTTACCCTTCATTTTGCCGCTCCCTAAGTCCCCGACTCCCGTGGCTTCACGACAACTTTCCTTCGACCGACGTATTCAACGTCAACTTGCCTTTGGCCGGCAAATGGCCGCCGGCATATTCCTCAACCTCCGACCCGACGTATTCCCCTACAATCTCGATTTCTTATTTTCTACTATTGCAAAATCAACAGCTCGATTTCTTCCAAAATCTTCAAGTTTAGCTCAGAGGTGTTCGACCGACGTTTTTCCACATGCTTCTCCATAGTTTTCTCTTGTTCTCCCCCTACTCCCCGCCAATCTGTTCTCTCACTGCTCAAATGTAACACCCTAATAAAAAAATAATGTAAACCGAAAATATCTAACGAGAACCAGAATCTTAGATAAAAACAAATTTCGCCCAACAAAAGTAATAGTTTAGCGTTTACAATTCCGCTACTGAGAAGATAAATAACAACCTACTAATCTAGATTTTTCTAGATTAAAGACGGGTATTTCTATCAATCTCCAAAAAAGCCGTAACGTCAAAAACGCAACGTTCAAAAGTAATAAGGCTATAATCACAAAAGAGCCTTTCACGAACCAACGCTCCTCTGAACCCTTTAGAGCCCCACCGTTAAAGGAACCTAAAAAGTAATTGTAACAAGAAAGAGAGAGGGTTAGGCTTACGCCTAGTGAGTCCAAACAAAAGAGTTTACGTAAACATAAAGGAACATATATAAAAATATACATGCAAATAGTTGACGTAACTTTAAACAGAAATAGGACAGTAAGACTTGAATAACTCGAAGTGGAACAATAAAACATACGAAGAGAACGGGGGATACCCGATTTACCGTTGATTATGACAGACACAAAGTAAGTCATAGATCAACGTTATAGAGCATCACTCACAGGTTTAATACCATCGACATCAACCTAAACCAGTCATGTAGTCGGCCGTGATCTTAAGCTCTTTACCTCGGTAATTACACAATAATCACAATGCCTATTACCGAGTGAAAGTGATTTGGTGATTACATAATAATCACAATGCCTATCACCAACTTACACCATCATTCCCACGAATAAAATAAAACGATATACATGCACTATATAAATATAAATAATGACGTAGTATCGTACGATATTTATATTTATAGAAAATGAGTCATAAATAATACGTGGGAGTGTCAAGACATCCGAAGATGACGGGGGAGACCCAATTTACCGTTAATTATGACGGAACACAAAGTAAGTCATAAATCAATGTCATAGAGCATTACGTACAGGTTTAATACCATTGACTTCAACCTAACCAGTCATGTAGTCGGTCGTGATCCTAAGCTCTTTACCTCGGAAATTACATAATAATCGCAATGCCTATTTCCGAGTGGAAGTGCGAAGGTGATTTGGGATTTACATAATGATCACAATGCCTAATTCCAACTCACACCACTCTTCACACCAATACAACGAAACAACTCACATGCTTTCAAACCCACTATATTCTTGTGATATGCTTGAATACGGTATCATAAGCATAATAGTGCTCATTTAACAATTGGATCTTACGCTCGTCCTATCATAAGCGAAATAACCCCACTTTGCTAATAAAGAACTCTAGCCTAGGGCATGAGGGGTTTAAAGTTAAATGGTCCACAACTCATAGGGAAAGAGTATTTTACCAAGTGAGTTGATCCATTCATTTAAACTCAACTCAACCCAACCGTATAACTGGATTACTCAAGTATGCTCTTTTTACCTAAAAATCTTCATTTGATCTAAATAAGTAATTTCATGAAGTTAAGGCATAAGATAAGTAAGAGCTTTCTCACCAAAAGTGTAAATTTTCATAGAATAAGTTGTTTAGATGGACTCACCTTTGTAGGAATTAGGATAAATCCCAATTTTTAGGAGTTAACCGGTAAATGGGCAAAAATCTTAGTTGAAAAAGCGACACCTGATCAATACGAAACGGACAGCAGCAAAAAGACAGTAGGGGGAAAAAGAAAACAGCCCCGGCTGTTCCTGGTTTGGCAACGCGGCAAGGCACGGTGCGGTCAGGTGCGGCGTGGGTCTGGTGTGGCTCAGGTCTGCAGTTTTGAGGTCAAGAACCAGCCCCAACAAAACAGGGACTCGATGAAGGACAAAGAGGTTGGAGTGATTTTTTTGAAGATCCAACAAGTAGACTAGAGGTGGTTCCATTAGGTACAAGACTTTTTCCTCTTCTTTATTTTCTTACAAGGTAATGTCCCTCATGGAAGGGAGGGAACCAATGGCCAAGGGACAACTAGAGGGTAGGGCATAGTGGAGGTACAAGTTAGTAGCACCCCCCTCCCTTTTTTTTTTTTTTATATTCTTTCCTTTCTCTTTTCTTTACCTTTTGATTTTCCCAAGAGAAGACTTGCCCATGAAATGCTAAAAAGATTCAAATGTATAAACATATAAAATTATAAACACCAAATTCCCCAACATGTACGGAACAGAGAACGTGGGGAAAAATCTCTGGCGTTACATCAACAACAAAAGGAAACGAACCGGTCTGATTTAGGGTTCTTCACCTTTCTTGCTTGATGTAAGTTTTTGATTTAGGGTTCTTCATTTTTCTCATGATTGTGGGTTTGATGTGAGTTTTTGATTTAGGGTTCGAATTTAGTTTATGATTTAGGTTTATTTTGATTTATCGCTACTTTGATCATCATAGGAGTTTGTTTTACCTTCAATGTAAAACAAAGGGTAAAATAGTAGTTTTCACCATTCAGACTGTTTATTCAGCATAGCAACCGAACAACAATTTATCAGTTATCATACAGACAACTTTATCACTATAGATAACTTTATCCATACAAGATTTAATGGAAAATAAACGGAACAACCCCTAAGTGGGTATACACGTAGTTAAGTAAAATTTGCGTCATTTATGATGGTAATGGAACATACTCGAAGATTTTATTAGTCACCTCTTATTTATTTTATGATGACTTTAGATATTTTTCCTAATAGTTTGTACACCAGTACTCTATCTCAACTACACATTTAAAATTTCAAGACATCTCCTTTAACGAGCGTACACCATTTTTTTATATTTTAATATATATTATATATAAAATAATAAATACGACACATATTTACAACACACATAAATTCTCAATCAGTGGTAATCATACGTTCCAAATGCTCGTTGATCTGAACAATGTTTTTTGGACATCGGGGGATTACAGTTCCAGTATAAGTCAACTCGACGTTGTTGCAGATAGCCTTAGTGTCACCACCCCCCTCTCGAGTAAAGTTGATTTCTTGCAACACAATCCCTTGACATGGATGTTTTTTGCTACATTTAAATATCACTGCATCTTCATCCGCACTAGTTCCAATAATATTTTGGTAAACCACATTTTTGATTTCGACTGCTGAATCCTGAAAATATCTTATTTGTTAAGACAAATAATAATAAAAAATATGTAACGTTTTATTGTTTAGTCTTGTAAACTTAAACCGTATAAAACAGTCTATTGGAATACTTGGACAATTTTTTAACGTCATACAGACTCAAGTTGTAGTGGTTAATTATCACGCTATATTATTAACAAGTTTGATGGTATATTTGATAAGTATTACATATTTAACCTGAAAATTGGTCAATGAAATGATCGAATTATGACCTGTTCTTTGCACGGTCCATCTTGATCACAATAATTCTGGTCTATAATGATAGGGTTTGTCACGTTCGTCATGTTGATATTTTTAAACGTAATGTTGCTTGCATCTCCTGATCCTCCCTGTAATCAACATAACAAAATTGACATATCAATAACGTCTCATAATTACATTTTTGTTTTAATACACTGTTGAAAAATACATATCATTAACTTCTCGTTTGAATTTGTCTGGACAATTAAGACTCGTGAAAACCTAGAGGGTCGTTAGTTTATCATTATATGCCTAATGAATCCACGAGATGCATGCACTTAGGCCTAAACTCGTTCACCAAGTTAAGAAATATGAGATAATAAAATTGTTGAACCAACATAGGGTTAGTTTAATCACCTGCCAAGTCTTGATTCTAACCCCATTTGTCGTTCCAGTAAGGTTAGCCCCATCAACTGTAACATCTGAAACATGAGCTTCTGCTTTTTTAGCTCCCAAACTCCCGATACTGAATCAACAACCAACCATAATATTATTAGTATGCATTTAATACATATTTGTTTTTGTTACAACGGATATAAGTTAAACCTAATATTTTGAATCCATAAATTTACAACTCATCATTAACATTATACATACTAGAAGAGTACTCGTACAATACAACAAGATACATCTTTATTTTAATATTTCATTTTATTATTTATCTCAATCGATGTTATAGTATAGTTTTATGTGATTTTGAAAAAGGGATGATGTTTTTTATTTTTAAATAATATATAAATTTGAAAATATCATAAAAATTTGACAAAAATATGTCGATATTTGTATGAAATTAAATATTTAAAATTCCTATTTTTTGTGTAATTTTTAATTCAAATTTTTTTTTATAATTCAATTTATATTCAATAACGAAGTAATTTATATTTTGTTTAATAATATAATTTTCTTATAAAGTTAATAGTTAATTATTTTGTTAGAACTCGATAATTATCATAATTATATTTTAGATTTTTTTATATTTTAAAATGAGATGTTTATCTTCTATTTAATTATGTGTATCCGAAGTTAGTTACACGAATTCAAACATTGAGCTTTAATAAGTTGTACTTATGTATAATTTACTTGTAATCTTGAATTTTAAGTAATATATGCATCACTATACAGTACTTCATGCATAAAAAGGTTTTTAAGAGTTTTCGTCAAATGTTTTATAATATAGTATAGATATTTAGACCGTTTAAAAGAAAATACATGATACATACCTAATCCCATGACCAGGTCCACATGTTATACCGGTGGCTTGAACATCTTTGGATCCATTCACTATCGATATGCAATCATCCCCTTCAATAATAACAAAAAAGGTTTAAAGAAATTTGAAGGCATAATCAAATATATGCAACTAACTTAATTACAGATAATTTGTGATGTAGAAACATACTTTCTTAAATTTGAGTATAGCAGTAATACGATACGATCCCCTACGTCTTTTTACAAAAAAAAAATGATAATAGTTTGTGAGAAATATGCATAAGAACCTGTTCCTATAACAGAGTCAGATATTTTGATGTTCTGGGTGCGAGTGACATGAATTCCATCCGTGTTTGGACTATCTTCGGGTGCAACCACTATCATATTAGAAACTTGGACGTTTTCACAATTGTCGAAAGAAACGTGCATTTGTTGCGCATTTTGAACCTTTAGGTTATTCACTACCAAAGTTGTGCACTCGTAAAGCGTCAAAGCCTGTTGTTGAAAATAAATAATTGTTACGTGAAAAAATATAATAAACTTTTCAAGAATGAATATTTTATTAAATATAAAATTTTGTTTGATAATTATTTGACCACTTTTTTTCCTTCAGATTTTCTTTATTTGTAGTCATGTAAAAATACTCATTAAATATTATTAATTACAATATATAATAAATTTTAAAAAAATAATAATTCATCGAAACATAGAACCAAAAATTATGAAATGGAGAAAGAACGTACCGTTGGGGCATCCTTGCAAGGCTGACGCATTCATTTATTTTATCACCACAAAATGAAAACACAATTGATTAGTAATGAAATATAGCATATATCTATACTATATTATAAAGCATTTGACATAAACTTTTAAAACCTATTTTTTATGCGTAAAATACTGTTTATTAATGCATATTACTTAAAACTCAAGATTACAAATAGCTTGTGCGAAAGTACAACTTATTAAAGCTCCATATCTGAATTCGTGTAACTAACTATAAATAAACATAATCAAATACAGGATAAACATCTCATTTTAAATATAAAAAATCTAAAATATAATTAAGATAATCATTGAGTTCTAACAGAATACTTAATTATTATCTTTATAAAATGTTATATTAATAAACCAAAAATAAATTATTTCGTTATTAAACTAAAATTAAATTATAATAAAAAATGAGAACTTTTAAATAGTTGATTTGATATTAATATTGATATATTTTTTTAAATTTTTTATGATATCTTCAAATATATATTTTATTCAAAAAATATAATCATTATTGCTTTATTTAAAAACACATAAAATCGTATTATAACATTGACAGAGAAAATAATAAAATAGAACATTAAAATCGAGATGTGTCTCGCTATATTGCAAGAAGAAATATCGATCATATATCTTATTTAATAGATGTAAAACATTATTAAATTAAATTAAAAAAAGTATGATTGTCCCTTTTTATTGCATTATCCATAACCATGAGAATAATCTCTAATAAATCGGGGTTGGATTTATTTTCCAAACCAATTTCTAATAAACCTATTTTATCACAATTAATAGTTTGATTATAGGTTTTTATAACATATGATAATTTGTTTGATGATCGTATTAATCATATGTGATAACTGTAGATATCTTTACTAATCATATATGATTATGTATATTTACATTTATAGATATTACTGTGAAGCAAATATTAACATATTTGATAATACATCATTTATACCCAAACTAGAAGCGTACTTGCGTAATACAACGAGATACATCGTGATTTTAATATTTCATTTTATTTTTTAGCTCAGTCGATGTTATAATATGGTTTTATGTGATTTTGAGAAA